TATAGATCGCTAGGGGCATAAGATTTATGCTAGTCCCCAAATCACAAAGTGCCTTGGCAAAGGCAAAGTTAGTAATGGTACATGGAATTGTGAAACTCCCTGGATCAGACAACTTCTCAGCAATTGGTCTAGTCACCACAGCACTGCAGGTCTGAGTTAGAGTCACTGTGGCCAAATCTTGGAAGTCGAATTTTTGGGACATCAAGTCTTTCATCATTTTTGCATAACCAGGCATCTCCTTCAAAGCATCAATCAATGGAATATTTACTTGGATTTGTTTCAACATCTCCTAAAATTTCTTGTATTGTTCCTCTTTATGGTATTTGGCTAGCCTCTGTGGGAATGGTGCTGGAGGTCTCTTCTTCCCAATGATTTGGGTTTTTCTCTTTGTCAGACTCCACCTCAACTACCGGTTCTTAGGCTGTCTCAGCTTCTTTCTCAGTCTCAATTTGTGTGTTGGTTCCTTCCTGGGCAGGATGTACTGTCACCTCTGTCAGTTTTGTTGAATCATCTAGCTCAATGGGCACTGGTACAAGTGTCTCAGCTTATCTGTTTTCTCTAACCCTCTCTTGCTCCAAGTTTAGTCTCTGCCATTACGTAGACTCACTGCCATCAGCTGCTTCGGGCCTTGATCTTTTGGATTTACCCGAGTGTTTGCAAGCAATGTCCCATGAGGACGATTATTCAAAGACATCGAGATCTGACTATTTGCACTTCAATATTCTTTATAGCTGACTCATGTGCATCTACTCTTTCACTCATTTTTGCATTTAACCCAATAACCTGCTATATCATTGCCTCGAGTCTAGCAAACCCATCTTCTTGTCTCTCACCATGTTGTTGCTGAGGAGGATGATAACCTTGCTGCTGATTTTGGTTGTTGTATCCCTGTGGCCTTTGGTAGGGCGCCATGTTATTGTGAGGTCGCATGGCTCCCATATTTCCATTGTTGTGCTGTGGCTGGACTGGCCTGTATGGCTGATTCTGTTGGCCCCAATTCTGACCACCCTATCTCTGTCCCCCATAATTAGACACATAATTCATGTCCTCAGGGTAATGATGGTGATCACTTTCTGCATTCCATTGGTTACCAATTGGCTGACTAATGCAAAATGTGCATAAGCCCCCATTGGTTGTATCTACAATGTGCACCTGCTGCTTCTGCCCTAACTCTTCCACCTTTTTGGTGAGTATACTCATTTGTGTCATTAAGGTAGCCATATTTTTAGCAAGAGTGTTGGATGGATCTAAGGGCACTGAGTGAACTACTGGAGTGATAGGTGCATTCCTGGTTGTCTACCCCGAATTCTGTGCCATCTTGTTAAGCAGGATCTGGCTTTCTCTCCATGATTTGCTCAAGAATGCTCCTCCAGCTGAAGCATCAACATTATCCTTCACTCTATCTGTCAGACCCATGTAAAACCGCTGCCCCAACATCTGCTCTGGAATACCGTGGTGCGAACATATCCAACATCCCTTTCAATGGTTCCTATGTTTCTTACAGTTAGGGGTGTTCATGGTTCGGTTTGGATCGGTTTTTCCCTTAAAAGAAACCAAACCAAGTAAGATCGGTTGTTCAAATATTAGAACCAAACCAAACCAATTAAGTCAGTTTTTTCTCGATTCGGTTTATGTCGGTTTTTTGGTTTTTCGGTTATTTATCGGTTTTTTCTTAAATATAAGACATACACTACCAAACATACATTTCGGCGACCACATTTTCAACGTAACACTATCAAATCAATTGCCCTTTGAGAAATCTATTATTTACCAAGATATATTGATGATAATTGAATCAAATAGTGATGAATAATTTAAGGACTCAATTAAAAATATATTATTTTTAACATAAAATAGATTTTACACTTAACAAAGAAAACTACCAATTAAACTAGAATGTAAAGGTAAAGAACTGTACTAAAAGTGCAAACGATTAATATTTATTATAAAAATTTTAAAACTTTATATAAAAGTATACATACATACATATATATACATACATATATATATATATATATATATATATATATATATATATAGGTGTAATAATAAATTTAAAATAGCTACTCCTATATTCGGTTTGGTTCGTTTTTTTTAATTCAAACCAAAACCAAACCAAACTTGATCGGTTTTTAAATTTCAAAACCAAATAAAAAAGTATTAGTTTTTTTGGTCGGTTTGGTTTGGTTTTCGGTTTGGTTTGGGTTTTCGAATTTTTATGAACACCCCTACTTGCAGTGTTTCCATTGGTTTCTGTTTGAAGCTCAAAATTTCATCAATTTGCTGAGCAGTCTTGTTAGGTGGATGAAACTTATTCACGAATTGTTTGACTAACTCCTCCCAAGTCGTGATGGAATTAGTGGGGAGTGAATTTAGCCAAGTCTGGGCAGCTCATGTCACTGAGGATGGAAACAATAACAACTTTATTATTTTCTGAGTTACGTTGGGCTGCCTTTGAGTTTTACAGATTGACAGAAAATTCTTCAAGTGCTGTTGAGGATCTTCAATGTACGACCCCGAAAATAGTCCCTTGTTTTGCAACAAGTGCAGCATGTTGTTTGTGATTTGAAAAGATTCGGCCTGTATCTGCAGGACTAATATCGTTGTGGCCAAATTCTCTGTCGTGGGTTGCGCCCAGTCATATAGAGGAGCCTCTGGCACAAGAGGTACTACTACTGGCGTAGCCGGGTCTACCTCGCGATCCCCCATGTCTCGTTCAAGTTGTTCAGTTGATTGTTGTTGTTTGTTTTTCCGGTTGGCCCGATTCAAGGCCTTGAAAGCTTTTTCGGGATCTGATAATGCTTCAAATACTTCACCAGTTCTCGACGAGTTTCTAGGCATGCACCTGTACAACCAAGTTAACAAACGTTAAAATTTCAATGTCTGGATTGAAAATAAAGAAAACTGACTACACTAAGAATGTTTGTATTTCTTTCAATTGTAATTGATAACACCGTTAATTCCCTGTCAGCGACGCCAAAATTTGATCATGCCCAACTATGCCTTATAAAAAGGACAAAGCGGTCGTTGCAAATATAATTCGACTATTTAGCCCAGAGTCGAATCCCACAGGGAATTAACCTACCAATTACTTATGTCAGACTCACTGAATTTTCCGTAATCAACTTCCCAGATATTTTGAATAACAATTGGTGATATTTTTACTACTATAACTAAATAAAGTTACGTAACGAAAAGCTAAATATGACTGAGTTGTAAACAAATAAGAGAAGGATCTAAGGTTGTGATTTCCCTTGTTGATGGAATCCCGTCCTGTTATGTTTCGCATAGAATTGCCTAATCGTCTCTATCGATCATGAGCACTCTTGCTACCGTAAATCTCTCCCGAGTAGTTACGATAATTTACTAGATGCACTCTCCCGAGTTACGCTAGCTGGATTTTATTACAGCTCACTTTAGATCACACCCAAGGTTTCGTTATCCCTAATCCCACCTTTAAACCCTCGGTTATTGATTCCTCATATACTTTGGGAGTGGTGTTGTTCAACAATTACCTAAATATGTACTCTCTCCCGAGTAATACATACTAAATAGGCAAAGCTAATTGAGGATCCTATCAATTAACTACAACAAGAACGTAGTTAAACAAATAGAGATTAAACTGGGCTATATTAACATAACAAGAAGTTCATTCTCAACAGGTTCCATCAAAACCCTAGACCAAATAATTAGCTACTCATAATCGTGTTCATAATAACAATAGTAAAATTCAGCATGAATGATAAATACAAAAAGGAAGAAAGGTAGAACTCGATGTCGAATTATCCTCCTTGCCTCTTGCCTCTTCTTGCCTTCACAAAAATAATAAAAACCTTGATAATCTCTTTTTTATGGGCGAGCTGGACCTCATATAGGTTAAGTGGAATTACCCCCAAAATTCCAAGTTTACCCCTGGACTTCTGCGCTCCGGATTGACTAGCGCGGCCGCGCTAGTGGTCGCGCATATGGCTGAGTGTACTGCCTCGTTTTTCTGCTCTAGCGCGGTCGCGCTAAGGCCGCGCTTGGTCCGCGGTAGAGTGGTTAAGCATTTTATCTCTTCTTTTCTTCCTTCTTTCACACGTACTCAGCTCCGAGGGGCTTCCTTTGCTTTAATTTAGCTCCAATAACTGTCCTAAGTCCTCATAAGCACAACTTGTTCCTGCAAAATATGAAATTCACAATTAGAGCCATTTTATCGTCATTTAACCTTCCTAGAACGGTGAAGCACAGTCAAGTTAGGGCATAAACAGTCGCCAAACTACATGAATCTAGCCTATTATCAGGCTCGGTTGCAACTCAATAAACAAGCAGCTGAAGAACACTTTGAACAATAGCTAAATAACAAAAATTAACTTTATTGCTTTGATATGCGTGCCAATAGTGGTCCTTAAAATATAAATGTTCTTCCCTTTATATAGTAGGGAGTTTCAATCCTAGCACAAGTCTAAGTAAGGTGAAAATCTTTTTCTTCCATTAAATATTGATATGCAGTTGATATCAGGCGAGATTTGCGCCGTAATATCCGGTTAAGGACGGATATTTCGGCCCCTCGATTGCCTTGTCTAACCGCCTATCGCTTAGCCTCGGTTCTTCACTCTGCTTGAGCCTAATGTTTGGCCGTGTCCGGTTTCGAGCGCACCATTCATCCTCCCAGGCTGTGGTCCGTAGAAGCCTTCGGCTTTAGCCGAGGCTATATCAAGTCGCGGTGCCCTCTCGTTTCTTCACCAGTAAATCGGGAGTAACTTTTTTTCACGATTTTACCCGTACACACTAGTAAAAAAAAATTAAAAGAATCAAAGTGCTTTATTGCAATAAAGTCAGTCACGTTGGATCTAGTAAAAGTTTTATTGGTATTGTTAATCAAATTATATACACTAGGTAATGTACTCATATACAAACGAAATGCAACCAAACACATTATAAATATAATAAACAAAATGACCCCTAAAGTATACAAAATTTCAATTCGACTCCGTGATAAATTCTAAATTATTTGAATCTCTGCGACACCATTTGATATTGGGATATTTGATGCCACACGCACAAGTCAAAACGACGAAAAGGCCCTCGGAATTTTCTAGAATTTCATATTCCTCATCATACAAACCCTAGATAGAATCTCTACGCGCGATCGATTTCCCTAGCACTTCGATCGTATTCCACTACGTGATTAACAAATTCTTATCAATTTTTGGTGAAAAATGACAGCTTTATAAGATTTGATCTGACGGAAGTTCGAATTATAGCTGTGGAATGGGCAGAAGTAGTGTATTAGCGGTAATTTTCACATTATTAATCGTTTCAGCAACTTCAAACGCAACATTATTCAATTCCAGGAAGTTAGTTGATTTGGCTCCTACACAAAGCAACAATTCTTCTTCTGAACAGGTAATTTTCCTCTCTTTGCATTTTAATGTATGTCTTTGTGAATTTGTGATATAGATACATCTGTATGTGCTGTAAATCTGTTTTTTAGATAGAACTATTAGCTAACAATGAATTGTTTAGATGTATGCTTAGTGAATTGATGATGTAGATACATCTACATGTGCTATAATTCGTTTGTTTTGATGGAAATATTAGCTAAGAAATGAACTTTTTGGATATATTCGCTCAGAGGCAGATCCAGGAATTGAACTTTATGGGTTCGAGTTCGAAAATCTATCATTGGCCATTTAATTAACTGTGTTTGAAAACTGTTATTTGTACTAATTTAGTGAAATAAGGATCTGAGCTAAAACTACTTGGTTCAAATGAAGCTGTATCTATATTCATCCTTCCCTGTGTATGTTAGTGAATAGATGATATAGATACATCTATATGTATTATAGTTTGTTTTTTTCGATGGCATTATTAGCTAAGAATGATTTTTATCTAGATTTCAGATTCAAATACTCCCGTTGAGGGTGAAAAGGAAGTTAATGCCAGCAAAATTAGTCATAACAAACCTGAAATTGGAAAAGAGAAGCCTGAAAATCCTGAAGGAAGTAATGATCCACCAAAACCTCCGCTGGAGGAACTGAATTCAACTAAAGTCAATGATGGGAGCTCAGTAACTGAAAAACAAAAGCCTAAAGATCCTCAGGTAAGAAACGATTCACCTAAAGATTCAGTGGACCAGAATTCAACTACGGTCAATGATGGAAGTCCGATAGCTGAAAGCAAACAGCCTAATGATGCTCAAGGAAGCACTGATCCATCAAAACTCAACCCAAAGGAACCAAATTCCACTGTAGTGGATGGTGGGAGCTCTAAAGGTGAAAAAGAGAAGCCTAAGGATCCTCAGCCTCAGGGAAGCACTGACTCACATAAATTGGATAAGGATCACCCTAAAAGTGATAACAGCACGGCTGCTGAAAGCCCTCCACCTGCTGAGAAGAAGGAGACTGAAGAAAAGAAGAACTTAGATGATAAAATAAACTCGGAAGTGAACACTAACGAAAGCTGTCAGGGGGCTACTAAAATGTGCAGGGTTGAACAAACACTGATTGCCTGCATTCAAAATCCCCAGAATGGTAAACCTTTTCGCTCATCAGATCACATGTTTCAGTGAATTGGAAATTTGATTGAACTGTTGTGGTACTGGCAAACCTACCAAGATGTAATGGATTGACAACTGATTACTAACTTTAATATGTTGTAACCTGAAGAATTTAGACTTTAGAGCCTGACAATTTTACTAACAGAGATATAAGAAGAGCTAGAGTGACATGGTATGGATCACCACTTTCTAATATTTCAGTAGGGCAGTATTTGAAGCTTGCAACTAACATTGTCCATTGGAGTTTGGTGGTACTTGCTGTAGTTTATTCCCATAAAAAAGGATTCCTCCTATACGTTTGCAATTTTTTGATTTCTTTGTGGAAGACTAAACGAAATTACATGAAATGTTAGTATTAGGCAATTCATTATCAAAGAAAATGTTAATATTAGGCAATTGAATGTAGCATTTTATCTAGGATTATTTATTGGAATAACTTAAATCTGACCATTATGGTTCATGAGATCTTAAGATATTGTTCTCATACCTTAAATTTTGAATTATTGCTACCTGAGTAGGACTATGCTCCCTCATCCTAACCCAAAAGGTTGGTGGTTTTTGGGGGGGCGTAAGTAAGAGAAAATGATCCAAGAGAAAAATGGGAACAAGGAGAAGCAAACATGTGGGCAGTCCGAATATGGATCACTTGATCTTCATATCTCTGTTTAGATGTCTTCATGAAGAATCATAGGTCTCCAAGTTCTTTTCAAATAATCGGGCATGTCAAAGTGTTAAAATTATCTAAAAGCTAGTTGTCTAATAATAGTTGTCCAGATCGTCGAGAGAGTTCTTGGTTCTCAGAAATACTTCTCAAGTATGCCAGCATATATGCTTCTATATTGGTCACTTGCCATCTAAAAGAAGGATTATTTTGGTAGAGAAGTACTTGTGATCGGACTGATGCTTGAGATGTGAATACATGAACAGATGTAAATCTTGTATTTAATAGGAGTTGGGTAGGAGAAAAGGATTAGTTTGAAACACTTTACATATAGCATGACTTTTTCCTGCATTGGTGTGGTCTGGAAAAACTTTTTGTTATCCTTTCCTAAGTTGCTCGGACTCTTAATTTTTAGTGTTGATCCGTACCGGAATTGGTCAACCAATTTTGGGTACTTTGACCAAAATCGACGGAGAAATTCGGAACAAATACAATGACGGCTGAAATCAAAACAAAAGCTAGGGTGAAATTGAAGAAAATGGAATACCTTGTATATAGAAATTTCTATGTCAGTCCTTTTCCTTTTGTCTCCTTCCCGTATTCTCCTCTTGATCAATATTTTCTCCTTCTCAGAATGCATTGTATGTTTTCCACATAGTGTCTCATAATGTAGACATATTTTTTTAACTCTATTTTTAGATGTTTATATTAGTTTTAGCAGAATCCTCGCACCCGTATCTGTACCCCCAAATCTTAAAATTTAGATAATGAAGGATCTAACCTCTAGATCCGCACCCGAGTCCGAGCAACTTAGATCCTTTCAAAGGCTTAGTATGAGCACTTCATTCTTACTGCTATAATCTTTATGGTATTTATGATGGTGGTTATTGTTGCCACTTGTTAATAATGGAACTTACATCATCTAAACCAAGTTGTATATAAAGGTGCAAAACATCTAGGTAATGATGTCGAAGACTCGAGCTATCACCCTTGGTCAAAATATCCATAACCACTCAGCTAATGTCCTGTTTGTTTCCGCTTAATGGGGATTTTCTCTTAATAACGTGTTTGTTCTGGATAAATCTAGTTCATTAAGATCTTGTACATAGAAAATCATCAAAGATGTTCACTTAATATTCCTGCAAAGGTGACCTTTTAGTACCACTTTGTTCATTACTATAGCACAACCACTGCCACCAGCTTACCGCACAACCACCATCACCTAGCACCATTACCATCTTCTCCATTGTTGACCACCACCAACCACCATCGCACAAATTATCCTGAAATAAGTTATTGAATATGATCAAACGTCAATTATTATGGTCCCTATCTGAACGTTTGATGATTATTGTGAGACATGTTTGTTTGAGTTGTTCATTTCTCCAAGAATGTGCTCTTCTTTGTCTCCTACCTTCTGTCACTTGGTTATAGGCGATAAAGAACAAGGTTTTACTTTAACAGATTTTGGCCCCGCGTTCATCATAAAAATTTCTTCCCTCTAATTGCTTTTATACTGGAAAAGTGAGCCTGAAGACATAAATGCATGGGTGACCAGAGAGAAAGGAACAAGTAATATATCATCAAGAACTTGTAGTTTTTCATTCCTTTTTGCATTAGACTATGTAATTGGTTTCTCTTGTTTTTGTTGCTACCTTGCCAACATAGAGGCACAGACTCTCTTTCTGTTTCTTCTTGTGTAATCATCCTTTCAGTTCTCCCCTCACTTACCTAGCAAGTAAGCTTTATATTAGTCTTATCATAGTAAGTGAAAAATACCTTTGATGTCTGATAGCTTTACTTTCTTTGATTTCACAGGATCTGCTGGATTGTTCCTTGTTGTGCAAAATGAAGGGGAAAAAAGAGTGAAAGTAAATATCAGTATCCAACCTCATCTGGACAGTTCTCCACAAGCTATTAAACTATCAAAACATCAGTCAGAAAAGGTATGCAGTCTCTTGATGTACTTGCTATTGACTCCCCCCCCACACACACACACCAAAATTCTTTTTTTCTAAATTAGCAAGACATCTGGGAGTCGATAGAGAAGAATTAACTTGGGCATTTTGCATGAATTTGAACTTTCCTGCTAAATGAACACACTGACTAGTGTTTCATAACTACTTGGGAAGTGATGGGGCAAAAAACAACCTTATTGATTAATCTGTGCGAGATGCTTGTTTACCTCATAGCATTATATCTGGGTGAAATTGCGGCCAAATTTTGGTTGTCCTGTGAATGAATGTGCTATGGTTAACTTATGTGAGGCCGAAAAGCTTCAGATCATGTTGAATTGTTTTAGCTCCAATTGTTTCTTATTCAATTCTTTTTAAGCAACTCAAATGGATCATGTGGGAATTCCTGTCACAGTTTTTACTTACAGTTAATTTTTTGCGCTCTTTATCCCAGCTTTACCAGTGGAATACAAGGAAAGTTAGGTAGAATCCACAATTATTCTTTGCTCTCTGTTTTCATAATATTTTCGTTAGATCATTTTGACGAGGTCCCTTACCATAGCTGAACAGCGCTAGAAGGATCAGTCTTTTCTTAGGATTTACATTACGTACTGCACAAATACCTATTCCTTTCGCAGCCCATCATGACCATGGTGATATTACTAAACCGGGGGGGGGGGGGGGGGTTGTGGGTGTGTTGGACGAACAGTTGTAGTTCAAGTGTAGGAATGAGATTTTAAGAGTTACTTTTCTCATGTAACAGATTGGTACACTTCAACCTTGTTAACAGCTCTGTGCATCTTTTGCTAAAAATCAAATGAGATTCTAGTTGGTTTACAAGTGAAGATTTATATTGCTGGAGTTCCAGGGCTGTAAAGTTGGGCTACGAGGCCTGTATGAATGGGATGAGGAGGCCCACAAAGCAAAATGAAAAGTGGATTATTAGAGGATGATAGCTAGCTTAGGATAGTATAGATTAGGGTTTCTTGTCTTCTAGGTGTCAAAAGGGATTTTGATATCTGACAAAAATGACTATGATACTCAAGAAAATTCTTGTGTATATGGTGTAACTGGAAATAGGAGGTTTGAATTTGACAAAACCTGGATAAATAGGAGAATAAAGATAATACAGTTTTAGGAACAACTCATTTTTGATAAGGAGTTTTAGGCATTATTCTTAATGTCTTACGGGCATTAGACTTCAGGTTGAGTGGCATCGCATAGTTCAGGTGACAGAACGGTGGCTGAAGGGTTTTTTGTTTACTCAGCTTTGTCATAAATTGGTACATTCAAGAAATATTTGCAAACTTTCTTTTAAACAAAAGAAAGGAAAGAAATGCTGTGAAACTTGAAGTGCATATCTTTATTGTCCTAGGATTCAGAAGCCAACTTGAAATAGGTAAACCCGAAGTAATAATACTTTTTTTTAATCAGGAAGGAAATGGTTGAACCCAAAATGATAATTCTTCCCACTGAAAACGAATAATCTTATTTCTTTGACCTGAAATATGCTGGCTCATTCGCAGAAACTGCTAGTTGTCTGTCATATGCCGGTAAAGGTATTGTCTTCCACATAAACTGATTTTGTGCACAAAATAAGACAGATTATGATCTATTTGTTTGTTTTTTTTGAGAATGGTAACGACGATTATGATCTAGTTTATAACGTTCTATACAATAAAGTGCATCTGCATTTGAGCAAGCTTCTGAAGTAAAAGTTTCCTCCGTGATATCCCCCAAGTTGTATATGAGGTGTTCCGCAATCTAGCCATAAAGAGAGGCTGTGCTACGCACTTGATTATTAATTTACTTTAATGTTGTATAAGAACTTTTGTTACAGATCTAGTGTCTATGAGCCGAGGGTCTCTCGGAAACAGCCTCTCTACCCCGTTCGGGGTAGGGGTAAGGTTTGCGTACACTCTACCCTCCCCAGACCCCACTGGTGGGATTTTACTGGGTCGTTGTTGTTGTTTATAAGAACTTTTGGTGTTCCGGTCCAGTGGTAAGGGCGTAGCGTATGGTTCGAAGTCCGCGACAGAAAAAAGCGTAGTATTTAAGTGGAGAAGGATAAAGGGACGGGCCCATTATCCACTGCGTTTCGAATCGTGCATTCTCGATTAAAAACCACCCCCCCCCCCCCCCCCACCCCCCCCACCCAAAAAAAAAAAAAAAAAAAAAAAAACTATGGTGTTAACTAGAATAAAAATAAGGAGATAATAAGGAGATTATATAATTTGAATTTACAGACACTAGTTATAACTACTATATATCAGTGCTTAAAAGTTTGCGTGGAAATGAAGTTCTACAATCTCAAGAAGTTTCCACTTTGTATCTCACACAAATTCGCTATGCACCTTATGTACTTGTAATTTCTACCAAACACTTCCAAATTGTTACTTTTACTCCGGCCATGATTGCAGGCGTCCTATGTGTACTGTGCTCTTAATTAAGCAATTTTGTGCGAGTGCAAGCCTGCTTATTCCATGCTATGCTATGCTGGATGTCCGTTCTAACATTATAAATCTGCTATGATAGATTGATATCTCATCAATCATGGGCAAAGGTTCTGAAATAGTGCTGAATGCTGGAGATGGTAGTTGCAGGCTTCAATTGGACCGCCGTGTCTCTATGGATAACATTCTGCAGCAGGTGTCTCTTTATTGTAAGCGTGTGACCCCTGTCTATGGTGCATACTTCCTTTTTCTTGTAACCCTACTTTTTGGTGGGACATGGGCTTGCTGCAAGCTAAGGAAGAAGAGACATCAAGATGGAGTTCCATATCAGGAATTAGAGATGGGAGTAGCAGAATCTGCCTCAGCTACAAATGTTGTTACAGCAGATGGTTGGGATGAGGATTGGGATGACGATTGGGATGAGGAGAATGCAGTGAAGTCACCAGGTGGACATACTTATGGGAATATCTCTGCTAATGGCCTCACGTCTAGGTCTTCTAAAAAAGATGGATGGGAAAATGACTGGGATGATTAGTTATAGAATATCCAAGAAAAAGAAAAAAGTTTTTTTGTTTTGTTACAGGAGGTACATACACCACGGAAGAGCTAAACAACGTGTAAAGACCTTTATGTAATTTAAATCTCAGTTTTTTTTGTTTTTACCAATTTGGATATTCTTTCTCTTAGCATTCTTTTGACAGAAGGTTTTGGTTCTAGATATGTTGTTACATATGTATTTTCATTGTTGAAACGAGTTTTGTACACGATTTCAAGTGATCCTTTAATTGAAGTGCAATATAGCAAATTATACCTACTTGCTCAATTTCTTCTCGAGATTGAAATGTGAATAATGTGATTCTGCTCCTACCATGTTCAAATGGATTAAAACCCTAATGTGGTTCAACTGATTGTTGCGTTCGTCCTTTTCGAAGCTTACACTGACATTAGTCTTGTGGACTAGCTTCTCTTTGATTGATCCTTGAAAGCCTAGGATTTAGTAGTAAAGAAGATTCTTTTTCTTTTACTATAACTGCTGTTTATAATTTGAGGAACAAATTTAGAATAGATTGCAACCTTTAGATTCTGAGGATGAATGGAGAAAAGGAAATAGGAGGTTATCAAATATCAATCAATCTACCAAAAAGAGCACTTTCCTTGGAACATAAAGGCTGAGTATGTTCCACTATCTTATCATATTGTTTTTGACGCTCTCTTAAGTGAGTCCTTTTTTAATTGGTGTGATATCAAATCCTAGATAGCTGAATTGTGAAAGTTCCCATCTGTTTTCTACTACTCATGCTGGTGAGTTTGTTTTTCTAACTGAAAAAAGATTAGAGTATATGTTTTTTTTTTCAGGTTGACTTGGTAAAACAAATCTTTTACTGAAAATGTATATAGTTAGCCATAGATTCATACACCAACCTTGTAAAGTTTGGATTACAGATGAGTCATTTTACTGAGAGTCTGATACCCCCCACCCCTTATGCGCGATGGTGTGGTAGTGTGCTCAATGAAGAGGCCGGCTGCAAATCTAGAAAATTAGAGTTTAATAATACTAGGTAAATTCTTTTCATTTGCCTAAACTTTTGTGGGCAAAGTTACCCGTTACATATACCGGTGGAAAGTAGTAGGTACTAGCTAAATTAATTAGGATATGCGCAAGTGTTCAGAGTCTTGAGACACTTAAGTGAAAGTTGAGTTGAAAATCAGAGTCTTACATTACAATCTTCTTTCTAGCAAGTGGAGTAACAATTGTAATCGTGGTGAAGTACACAAATTGCTTACAAAGTTTAATAAGTGGTCTTGAATTTTTTTTCTGGCTTATCTCATGGGCAGAACTTCAAGTTTAACAAGTGTTGCCCCTTACTTGTCGCATTGGCAATACTTTCAAGTTGACCTTGAACGTCTACCCACATGACAAGCGGGGGGTCAAAAGTTATAGAACACCCCAAAAAGTATTATATATATTTGGAATTTTTTGGTAATTACCGGTGGGAATATGGCACTCTTCTAAGTTTTTGGCTTTGGTTGTAAAAGTTGTCAAAACACTCACTTCCCTTTTTCTTTTGTATAGGGTACGTTGGCCAAGTCTTCACTTTATTCCATGAGGTGAATAAACAGATTGAAGGTTATAGAAGCTTTGTCCCCACTCATGAAAAATCTTTAGTAAAGCAAAGAGAGCACTAGCAGATTAGTGAAAGTTTAACATGGAGTCCATCATTATGTCCTCATAAAGTGGAAACCCAAAAGAGAAAGAATTGAAAGAAAATTCTTCTTGTTCTATACACTTGGTTCGCTGTCCAAGATACCTTTTTTTTTTTCTCATGTAATTTTTTTTATAATCGTGTGTATGAGTCAATTTTCGTGTACCTTGATTAATTCAACGATATATTTGCTGCTTCTCACCAAAGGCGGATCCAGAATTTAAATTTTATGGATTCAAATTTTAAAGTTTTTAGCATTGAATCCATTATATTTTTAAAGTTAAGGGTTCATATTTACAATTTATTGCAATTCCAATGATGTTCTATTCATAAATTTATGTTCCACATCGAAAGTTATGGGTTCAATTTGAACTCGTATGTATAATTGTACATCCGCCACTGCCTCCCATCCACCAACACATGTACCGAATAACTTTGTCCACCAAAATTTGGACAAATATAAAGAAATTACCTAGTAGTATTTTTAGCTCCAATGAAATTTGAACCTGAGATTCAAATAGTTAATTAGTGTTTCAAGCTTTAAAGACATGGTGGTTACTTCAAAAAAATTTGAAACACTAGGAAATTTAATCATCTCTGTTGTCGTAAGTGAGTCCCCCTGATCATGGTAGGACTGATGATAGTATTTAAAAAATTCTCAAGCATGCAAGAAATGTATTACTTACACCATAATCTATCGAAGAGTAAGTTGGACATGAATTATGAGCAGACGAATGCTTTAATGATGGCTGTACTATTTCTTGATTAGGCATAATGCTTAAACTAAGACAAGTATGGCAGGACAAGTGCTTTAATAATCATTTGAACTTGCAAGAATAATATTGTTTGTCGGACTTGTAGAGCAAGAAACATCAATTTTGCTTGTCTCAATATTTTATTCTTACCCCTTAGTGTTTGCCAGTCTCAATTCTAAATAAAAGAGAAGATTGCAAACAATGATAAAAATTTCTCTATATTACTAATCTATGTATTACAACTCTTCATTATTAATCTCTATACTATTGATTTCTGCATAACCCAAAACTATTAATTTGAATATCTAAATTGTATACGGGTAAAATTGGGGATAGAGCATACCCCGATTTTCCGGTGAAGAAAACGGAAGAAGAGCACGGACGCATGAGACTGAATTCGGGGCCGGGGATCTTTCGTATTGAGACCCATGAAAGAAGAACAATGTGTTCATCACCGGGCATGATAAAGTAACACTCCTCGAACCTACAACGAGTTCTAAAACATTGGGAAACACGGTAAAGAGTTACACAAGACGAATAAAGGGCCGTGATATTCGTACCCAACCAGATATCACGGCGCGGATCTTGCTTGATATCGGATACGGATCAGTAACTAACGGGAAAGGAAGATTTTTACCTTTTTTTGGCTTGTACTAGGGATGAAGCTCTCCTACTATATAAAGGGGAGGTTCTTTCTTTTGATAAACACATTGTAACACGCAAATCAAGGCAACAAAAATTCATTTCTCTGCTCTCTAGCAATTGCAGAAGCTCTTACTTAACTGTTTGTTCTTCCTCTGATTTGGGTTCAAACCAAGGGTCCGATCGAGGGCAAAACTACTGTTCAATCTAGACTCGAGTTAGGCCGTAATATCACTACTAGTTTGAGCATTCATTTTATCTTTAACTCGTATATCTAGTCTTCTTGATTATTTGTGTTGAATCAATCCACATATCCTTAGAACCGCGTACAAGTTTAATTATTAATCAATTTTAGGTTAAACAGTTTGGCGCCCGTCGTGGGGATAAGGATAATAGTGGTGATTTGATACGAAACTCCATAGCACACTCTATTTTAAGCTTGTTTTTTAAAGTCTTAATTTCAGGTTAGCTTAGAAATGTCAAGTTCTCAGTGTGTCCACTTGAACGTTGAAGCTGAGTCTGGCCATCATGGCGAAAATAATAATCTGATGCCTAGCAACGAGGTGCCTCCTACTAATCCCAACGGAGTCCCAGTTTCCGATTTGGTCGATGCTAACTCATAAGCGGCCATCGATGTCAATCTACCAACTGATCCCAAAAACAGCGTTCGCGGGGGACCCCGACCAACATCTCGAGAAGCGCCCGAAGGCGAAGGTGATGGAACAAGCCTACGGTTAATCTTCGAAATGTTACAAGCTCAACAGGCAGCGATAGTGTAGCTACAGAATCAAAGCCACACCCCTAGCAGGGTTAAGCCCGAATAATCGGGGGAAAACATCCGAAGAAACGAACAAATCACCAAGAGACCGGGTAAAGCTGAGCTCGGGGTCAATCCCGAAATAATGAGAATGCTTGAAGCATTAACGAAGTGGGTGGATTCAGGCAAGAAGAAGATTGAAGCCAATGACAAAAAAGGTGGAAACATACAATTCCAGGGTCGATCAAAGCCCGGGAGCACCAGCGATATTGAAAGGGCCGAATCAAGAATTTATCCAAAAGTGTTTTCCTCTGAGCGCGGCACCGAAGCCGATCCCAAAGAGGTTTTGTATGCCCGATTTCCCAAAATATAACGGCACCACGGATCTGAATGAACATGCGACCTCTTATATATGCGTAATCCTAGGGAACGACTTGGAAGATGACGAAATCGAATCGGTGTTACCGAAGAAGTTTGGGGAGACTTTGTCCAAAGGAGCAATGATATGGTATCACAACTTACCCCCAAATTCCATTGACTCATTTGCTATGCTTGTATATGCTTTCGTGAAGGCCCATGTCGGGGCCATCAAGGTTGAGACCAGAAACTCGGACCTTTTCAAGGTTAAACAAAGAGACAACAAGATGCTGAGGGAGTTCGTGTTGAGGATCCATATGGAACGAATGGACCTGCCTTCGGTCGCAGATGATTGGGTCGTTCAGGCATTTACTCAGGGGCTTAAGCCCCGAAGCTCTTTAGCTTCACAGCAGCTAAAACAAAATTTGGTAGAGTACCCGGCGATAAATTGGGCAGACGTCCACAACAGGTACCAGTCAAAGATGAGGGTCGAGGACGACTAACTTGAAGCCCCTTCAGGGTCAGTTTATCCCATCAGGGCCGACGTCAGGTCTAAGAGAAGCGTCGATCATGAGCCAAGGCCCATCCAGGATTGGTACCAACCATACAGCTCGGACTGAAGGGGAAATGGGTCTGGGCGTCACCCTACAAGGAACGAAAAGAGAGGAGATCAAGGGTCCAGTAGTTGAGGTCTGATGAGAAAAATTATTTTGACAGGCCACTCGGGGGGGGGGGGGAGGGGGGGTAGGGAAGCACCGATATTATCAGAGTATAACTTCAACGTTGATGCTGCCAGCATCGTATCAGCTATTGGCGCATCAAGGAGACCAAGTGGCCCTGACCATTGTAGTATGTCCCTACCCAAAGAGATCCTAACTTCATATGTAAGTATCATGGCACCCATGGTCACAGGACCGAGGATTGCCGACAATTGAGAGAAGAAGTTGCCTGGTTGTTCAATAACGGGCACCTTCGAGAATTTGTGAGTGATCAAGCCAAAAATTACTTCAGGAATAGGGACGCCAACAAATGGTCCGAACAAGAAGAGCCTGAGCACTTCATCAACATGATCATTGGAGGGGTCGATGTCCCCCAAGGGCCAATGATA